TAAACATATATAATACAAAAACGGTTTCAGAAAAGAGGGTAGAAAATGAAAAAAAAAAAAAAAAGTGAAATCCGTTTTTCAGAAAACAGAAAACGAAAACAAGAAAATGAAAACACCTTTTTTTCGTTTTCTGATTTCCACAAAAAGACAAAAACGTTTTTGGTTTTGTTTTTTAAAAGAAATTGCACCAAACACGTTTTTAACACCTGTTTTCATTTTTTTTCTTTGAAAACCGTGAAAAACGAAAACGAAAACGCAAATAAACGGGCCCTACGTTTTAGCTTACCTAGTTTGCCCACCACTGCCCATTTGATCGAAGAAAAGAAGTCCACCAATAACATGGTCATCAGATAGGCCTAGAAAACCGATAGCAAGTGCTCATTGATTCTTCTGATTAAGCAACTGCAAGTACAAGCATTCGCAGGAAAATGGATGTACATACATACATAGTTAACAAAAAAAAATGGTCTTAATGATTACATTAATATCTACTCATCGATAGTTATTTTTGTTTTAACATGGTGATATTGATCAAACAATACTAAATTGTATAGTTAACAAAAAAAAATGTGTCAATATTATCGAATTTTTATATTTTATCAGTAACTTTTAATAAAAACGTGACTATTAAAAACTTATCTTATATTTATGTGTAAAGACTGAAGATGAACTAGCAGAAATTAAGGCATAGCCTTCTCGTTGATTTTTACTGAATATATATACCGTATCCTAATCTGGGTAATTTACAATTAAAATAAAATTTCAAAATAGGAAACTAACAAATAGAGAAATTAATAGAGAAACTATGTAGATATTACAAGTCAATTTTAAATCTAAACTAGCACTAGTACAAATACCACATTTAACGACAGTTTTACCCGTCGTTAAAAGAAACGGCGACTATTAGCAAAATCGTCATCATTTTAAGAGTTATTAACGCCTCGTTTATTTCACCGATTCGAGTTTTCAGTTTTAAGTTTCTACAGTAAAAAACTCTCAAAAAATATCACATCAAACTTTTTCTACTACAGTGAAAAGCTCTCATAAAATGTTACATCTCAGCTCGAATTAAAAACTCAATTCTGCGAAGTGAACTAGGCATAAATGTCAATGACGTTTAACGATCGTTTGACTAAAAAGATAAAAATCCTAACCTATGCACTTTTAAGAGACATTTGTCAAAATTACCCTATATTCAAGTCATGATTGAGTTCATTGACGGGAACTTTATGAGAGAAAGTTATAGAATTCAAACTCTTGTGAGATAAAAAAAATATTTAAAAAAAAAACTGTTATCAGAACGCAAATTCGGATTTAAATATATGTCCCAAACAAGCCCTTAACAAAATTTACCTATTTTAGATAACGTGAAATATCTTGTTTTAGAAAGAAGAAAACTTTTTAACTATTGCATCATCTTAGCTATAAATAACCAAAAACGAACTTCTCAAAGGTGGAAGGGAAAAAACTGCAAAAATTCTCACCTCGGCAGCATTTAAAACTTGACTTACAAAATATTACTTTACCAAATGGCATAAATTACAATATTTTAGAGTCCTATCACACAAACAAAATTTTCTAATCTAACAACCTGCCTTTAGTTTGGCACAGAAACTCTCTTCTAAATGTGCTTCTTGACGTAACAAAGCAAAAAAAAAAGTAAGATCCATATTGCTCACCGTTGCAAAATTTGGAAATCCTCCACATAGGCTTCGTTCAATTCAACAATTTAGCCGGCTCCTCGAGTATGTTGATCTCATTTCCAAATCTTGAATACTTATAAGTCTTCTGCATTGTCTAAAATGTTCCATTACCAACAATGTGTTCGAATACATCTAATCTCCGTCATAACCTTCCTGAACATGTCGAAGCTTGATTCTCATAGGTAGAAAGACAGTTATAGCAAAGAGAGTAATATATGGGAAGTCATTCCACAGTTGGTGTCCTCCTCTCCAACAAGGACTCCAAGAATGCCGAACACAACTTGGTGAGAGGCGGAAGATTATGAGATGACCCACTAAAAATGGTCTCCCACGGCCTCCCCGATGGTACGGATGGGGCCAACAAATTCTGGTTTGTCTTCTTCAACTCGAACTCTGGTAGCTCCCCATAGATAGATGAATAACCAAAATGCTCTGCATAAGAAAACAAATATCACGTGATAAGGATCATCACAAGACAAAAAGAAAATAAAAATTGTTCGAGAGGAGGACAATGCAAACTTTAGTAATTATGAAGTTTCGTCATCCAACACTGGAATGAACAGTGACGGAGACGGGGCAGCTTTTTTCTTTCTTTTTTTTTTTAATATAGTGGTTTTAATTTTAATATAGTAGGAATGTGTATAAATTAAACTTGACCCCCTTAAATTACATTTAATAAACAAAAACTGTTATATATATATGTTAGTATAATCTTTGATTAAAAAAATAAATAAATAGGTCCCCCAACCAATAAATCATGGCTCCGTCACGTCACTGAGAATGAATACATCAATAGTAAGAGATACTAAAACATCTCTAGCATGTAGTTAAGGTAACGATGTCGGACCAGCCAGAATGTGCATCTCAAATATTATACACAGACAAATTAATGTGTAGTGGTATCTATGTTTTCATGTAGTCATGATTAATAATATGTTTCTAACAAAGATTAACCAAACAATATTGAGTAGTTCTTCCCCAATAAGCTTATGAATGCTACTTCGAAATTACCCGGAATTAGACTTTCAACAAAACAAGACGCACTAGAACATTCTCTAATAGTTGAAAATTGTTCCTTGGATAGCTTTCAAACCATAATGTGTTGAAATAATAATTGAAGTAATAAACTAAGTTGAAAGAAGCTCGACCTGTATCCTCAAGGGCAACAAGTTCTTTTCTTCTGGTCAGGCTTAGTACACGTACTTTCTCACCATGTGGGTCAAATACAACATATTCATGATCACCATTTATATAGACAAGTAACGAGTCAGATGGTTCCCCATCTGAAACATTTTGTTCAAGAGAAGGTCTATTTCCTCGAATAAAACCAAGCCCCCCACCTTTGGCCTGCACTCAGAATGACAATAAGTTACCATACACTGTCAAGGCTAATAAAAATTTCAAACTAAGGTACATGATTTAAACTTGATTTCAACTTATGACTTGAGAATATAATTTTCCTTCAATTGTTTACATAGCAATTAAATCATCTAACCTAAAACGTACATTATTATCCTTAGCTTTGGACCCTCTCAGACATAGCAAGAAACGCAAGGCAAACACTCTCACTCAATGTAGTCGGATAAGTGGTAAACCTACTGTTTCAAAAATATATTTTGAAAGGCCTATCACTTTGACTTCCATATTCAATTTAGTCGAGTACAAGGTAAACCAAATGTTTCAAGATGTATTCTGACGTGCCTCCCCCATTTTGATTTACCTATCAGCTAATATATGTTTATTTACAATTATCTCCAATACATCTGCCCGTGTAATAGCCAACTTGTGCAATAGACCAAACACTAAAAGACATTGCAAAAAATCTTCATTGACAATGGTACTGGACCTCTATAATCATTACTTTTCTCATGAAAAAGGCAAAAACATTATTATACCTTCCTTACTGACCAAGTGGCCACAGGAACAGGGTCTGTCGTATTGAATAATAAGATTAACCCATCTCTTTCTTGGAATGTCCTTCCATTTGATTCCATCACTGAAGATGATTTAGGGAGCAGCACAAGAACTGCAAACATTGATAAATCAACTGCACAAGCTATATCTGCACAAGATGCACAGGTATTAATAAAATAACAGATAAACTGACTAAATTATTTACAACTTAAAAAGTAGAAATAAAATGGATAAACATCAAACCTTCTACTTGAAGCTTGTATGACCATGACACAGAGAGTTTGGACATGCTCCAGACTGATAGTTGTGGTTTTGAACCTTGAGACACGGATATGAGACAATCTGACTTTCCAGCAAAAGACAGGGACGTAATTGGCTGCAAGAGATATAAGGGGGAAAAAGGATAATTTATCAGAGAGATACATGCATGAGTTATCAAATAGTACTTCAAGTTGTTATATTATCACTCCCAAGTCTACAAGCATCAATAATGCCACAATGAATTAACATGTAATACATGCACGGGCGTCGTTTTTAAGTGTTGTAAGCATGCCCCAAACATCAGCCCCCCTATTACTCAAAGAAGCAACATGCTCAACTATGAGCTGCTGGTGTAATGCAGCTCCATACATAGAAGTTAAGAACAGAGGCAGACATATTTTGCCAGATTCAAACATGCAAAATATAGAATAAATCAGAAAGAATAATATACGTTTCTGAAGAAAGATGGAAGCAGAAATAGATGGGATCTGAAAAATCACCGTTTCAATCTCTCCAAGAACAGCCACGAGAACATTGTTTTCAGGGTCCCACAATGTAATAACAGTTTCTGCTGCAACAGCTAAAACAGAACCATCGGCAGAAAATGCAGCAGCTGTCATTGGCTTTTTTCTGCAAATAATAAAATTGAGTAAAGAACAATGATTTTAGCCAAATAACAAAGAACCGATCCTTTCACGGATCAATCCGTAAAAGTATGCAGATTACATAGTAATTTATATATCTTATTACTAGTTGATCATACCTAAAAAACAAAAAAATCTCTAAAAGTTCAACCAGGAGAAAACGATCAGATAAAATTAAGATCCAATTAAAGGCCCAACCCAGATAGTGATGCAATTTTAACATAAAGGGAGGGTTTCTATATATTTTATATTTACAGTTTCAATATTAGCGAATAAGTGAAAATTCTTCAGACTCTGGAAACAAGAACGGAGAGACAGCATTTACAACAGAGCTCGGTATGTTTGGTTAAAAAAAAAAAAAAAAAAAAAAAAAAAAAAAAAAAAAAAAAAAAAAGAAAAAAATTTGGAAAAACCAAAAAAACAGGAGCATACTTGTAGGAACCCACAGAGTGGCACATCCAACCAGAATTTTGTAGTGCTTCACGATTCTGCAGAATCTCATCATTGGAAATCCATAGCTGAAAACAAAAACAAAACAAATAAAGAACAAATAAAAAAACCAAACAAAGAAACAAAAAAGGACAAAACAAAATTGTCATTTAAAGACAGAATCCTTAAGAACAATAATTTTTATCTGTCAAAATCTACCTTAAAGTCCCTGCCGTAGGATGAACTAACAGCCATTCGACGGCGAGGATGGAACACAACGGTGGAAATACCAGCATCCCTATACAATAAGATGAATACTTAAATTCCTAAAAGAATGAAATCAGAGATGCTTTTGCTTCTTTTCCCTTTTTTAAACTGTTTTATTTAACATGTTCAGGTCACAAATATCAAGCAAGTAAAACCTGTGAGGTTCATAAATAACGGTGGACAAGCTAAAGTTTTTGTTCAATGACTCTGATTCCCAAAACTTGAGACAAACAAGAGCGCCAATTCCATCTTCAGGAAGCTTCACTTCAGCGGTGCACATCACAGAGCCATCTAGGGAGAGAGCTACAGCGGTCACTACCACCTGCAACCAAAATTGTTAAGAATACAAATTAAGTTTATAAATACGCAGTAACCGAATTATTCAGAAAACTCGCTAAATCTGGCGGCATAATATATGAAGAGCATATCACCTTTCAAAATCTAATAAAATAAAAATGATCAACTTACTGTGACTTCATCACCAGGTTGGTGGTTTCTCTCACAGACTTGAACCTGGAAAAAAACCAGATCGAACCAATTAACTTCTAAACTAAAGCTTATCATTGACAAAATATTTTGTAAACAAGTTTGCTCGAACAACAAGAGGTTTAATAAATCAATAAATTGGGTAAATGCATAGCTATCATAACAGGTTAAAAAAAATCGAGCAGATTTCTTTTTTAATACAAAAACTTCCTTTTATTGATAAGGATTACCAATGAAAGCAACATTACTATGTATGGAACTAAGAGAACACTACTAACAATCCAAGTTAGAAAGCAATCAAGCAGACTCATAATCCAAGTAACAGAACATTACTAATAACGCAATTAAGAGAGCTTAATAAAAACTGAACCAAATTTATCCATATTTCAGCATCTGACATATGCATACGACATATCTATTGCATGAATAATAAGGGAAGATATTTTTTTCCGCAATATTGAAAGTTCACAGCTCAGACTCGGAAAATGCTGTCATGAGTCGTTGTCAACAGTAAAACTTCCAATGAGAATAAAAATAACATATCAAAAACCCACCAGAGGCCAAATTTTAGGACATTAGACAACTACTTAAACATTAAGTCAAAATAAAAAATGCTCACCTCTGACATTTCACGGTCATCAAACAAGTTGAAAAATTGAATGCAATAGTTCTCTGTTCTCAATGCAACTAAACCAGCAGATTGATCAAATGCAAACTTGCTGCATGGTCCTTCATTTATCTCGGGAAATGAAAATGGAAGCTGGAACATGCAAATACAAAATTGTGAGACTTAGCATTAAATGTATCGCATTAAGTTATCAATATAAATTCAAAGAAATGCAGCCTTTTCTTTGGTTAAAAAGGAATGTAACTCAAAAGTCAAAACTAAGCATTTACTCTAATTCATGTATCTAATGTCAGCACCAAATCACCATATCCTCTGTAAGCACAAATAAACATTCCAATGAAACCAGAGTTCCACAAAGCACAAGTCCCAAACAGAGGCCAATTTCACCGGCCAATGGATAATGACCCTGAGCCATGGGTATAGCTCAGTAATATTCTTTTTCTACGTTTATACAGATTGAACTATCAAACTAACTTAACAAAGCCCAACACAAGCAGTCGCTTTGGGTTTCTCTAAAAACATAAAGATCTAATGAAGGTTTTTACATCACACGTACCTCTTCAATGTTGCCAGATTGCCAGCAAGGACTAACTCAAGATTATGACTAGTAATGCAATAACTTATATAGAACGCAATGCACTACTAGGAATGCCATTAACACAATCCATTGTTATCAATTTAAATAACAAGAGCACTACCTTAAAATAAAAAGTGGAAGTAAATAATGACAAAAAAAGGCCAAGCATAACCTAAAAGCTTCACAGAATCAAAAGTTGCTAATGAAAACAAACCTTGATACCGGAAATAGACTTCAAGATTTCCATTGAAGGCATTTTCAGTATGTGAACTCGATTATCTGCACAAGATATCTAAAGACCCTTACTTCAGTAAAACCACTATAATGAGAAGATTCCTTTTACGCAGGTGGTATCTCATATTATAATGCATCTCTATATTTCTCTGAATAGAAGGTTTCCTTACAGAGGAAATTGAAGGATCAGGAGAATCTGTGAAATACAGAAGCGGAGATCCAATCCTTGGTAAGAATTTCTTTTTTCCTGTGTCTAACTGCCAAACAACAAGAACACCTTCCCTACCACCTAAATCAACAAAAATGTATTAGAAACTGGTACATAACTACATAAAAGGAACCCATGTAATCAAATGATTAAAAAAGACCGAAAGTGCTAAGCCAATTTTCACCTCAAACAACTCAGAAGCCATCACGGTAATGTATGCTTACCAGAATATAAATAGGCTCCATCAGATGAAAACGAGAGGACATTCACTTCAGTAGAGTGCCAATGCCATGTGGAGCACACATCAGCTTCATCATCCCCCCTTACTCCAGGTTTTTTTCCCTCGTTGTCGATCAATCTTCCACTTGCTGATTTCTCACTGGTAGCAAAAGTTTGACTGCCAAAATCTCTCCAGATTAAAATTCTTCCAGTTAAATCACCTGCAGCTACAATTCTCTCAGTTGGATGGAATGCAAGAATTGTCAATTTCTTTGTGTGATGCAAGCTAATCTTTTTAATTCCAAAACGCTCAGAATCTTTAGCGGGCACTTTCCAGATATGAAGCTTGCGCTTGTTTCTGATTCCAAAAAATTTTCCTGAGGGACTAATGGTGATAAACTCCGGTGATTGAGTCTGCCCATTTAAAACAACAAACTGTCATGCATCTAAAACTAAATCAAATTGCTAAAGTTAGAGGCTTATTACTAATATGTAAAATGAGTACATTTTGCATACAATCAGAAACATTCACATCACGATGCCATAAAGGCATAAACCCC